ACAGATAAAAGTCACGTTATTAACCCACACCGTCTTGTTTCTTTGATGATGGAGACAAAGAACTCCCAGCCACCGGGGAGCAGCCATCCTTGATTTCTCAACTAAGAACATCCCCGGGAGGGGGGGAGAGAGAGATGCCACATGAGAATATAAGAAGAGCCTCCCCAGGTCAGAGCAACCTATAGTTGGGTGGGAAGCCTGCCTGGGGTAGCACAGACTACCTATAGCTATTCCTTTGCCGGCTGTAACATCCACAAATTCATCCCAATTAAGGCCGTCCAATTTGGTAGCCGTCCTTATTTATTTTATTTATTTATTTAATTTGTACCCCGCCTATCTGCTCAGAATGACCACTCTCGTCCTTGCATCCTGTGGCAGAGAGTTCCACTGTTTAGCTATGTGCTGTGTGAAGAAGTCAATGCATAGCAGCCAGGTTCCTGCCAGGCTCTTCTCAAGGGGAAACTGAAGCTCCATGAATACACTTTTACCAACACCTTCAATGGTAGCAGATTGTTCTCCGTTATTTTTGAATCGTTCACGTCAGCCTTCTCCCTAGCCCGAATCTGTTAGAAATTTTCCTGCTGCTTCCTTGCCTGCAGAAAGCTTCGCCCTATGTTTCCAATGTGTTTCAGAATGAATGAATGGCACTAAAATGTATTTGGTATAACGTTCGACCCTGTCGTCTCCTCTGATGCCAACCGGGTGCCAACCAAAAGGCTCCTGATTCTATAAAGCAGGAGGAGGCTTAAATCAGGGGAAGAGTTTTGCCCCCATGCGGAAAGCTAGAAAGTTGAGACCTCTCTGTGTTTGGAGTGGGGAAAAAGGAGTGTAGTCAACTCTTCCCCCCCCACCCTCGATGAAATGATTACATAGCAAGTAAAAAAAACTGACTGCGACACACATTGATCAGGGACATGTAGAACGTGCGTCTACGCTACAAAAGGAAATCAATGAATAATTTGCAAGGTAATTTATTTTGGTGCAGTTTGAGACACCGAAATAAGGAACTCTCTCCGGTTTCATTCGCTCGGCAGAATGGGCCTCATCAGCAGCATTAACTCATAAAGGCTGAGTGGATTTTCCTTCCCAGCTCTTTACAACTCAAAAAGTGATGAGTTACCGAAACGTTCTTGAACCAAAAGTCTACGGTGCACATTGAAAAGAAAGAGAGAGGAAAAGAGGGGGAGACAGAAAGAAAGGTTAGCTCTCGATAAACCCCAGGGTAAAAATGCTGATTATATCCCCTTTTCCTCTGGTTGAGCTCAAAGCAGGGTCCATAGCTCACTTTCACCTCATTTCATCTTCTCAACAACCCAGCGAGGTAGAACAGGATGAGGGGCAATGACCGGCTCTGGGTCACTCCATGAAGTCTAATGATTCAGAGGGGAAGAGAGCCTGGACTGCCCAACTCCCAGGCCAACCCTCTAACCTCTACACCCCACTCTCCCCCTCGGTATTAAGGCTTCTTTGCTTCCCAAATATAATGAAGAATCTGTGCCTGAAGAGAACCGAAAGGGGAAGGAAGGTGTTACGACAGAAGCTTTTGTCCCAAAACACTTTGGGGTAGCACATCTGATTTAATACTGAAAAGCAGCCGATGAAGTAAAAGGTGAATTATTTTGGCCCATCTCAAAAGCACGCAAAAAAAGGTGTGCTATTTAAATAACACCCCACAGCACTTAAAGCACATTCTGGGTGGTTTGCAATTTAATTATGCAGGCTACACATTGTCCCCTCTCAGCAAGCTGGGTATTCAGTTTACCAACCTTGGAAGGAACGAAGGCTGAGCCGCGACCTGGCTGCAGTACTGCAGTTTAGCCACTGCGCCCAGTATGGTATGAAAACGATACAGTCCAAGGGGACATCAGATATATAGTTTTTAACAACATTCAAAGCAGGTACACAGAGGAGATCTCTTTGTAAAGACAGACGTTTTTGTTTTAATATCTGAGCAATGTGCACCGGAGTTGGTCATGCTTAGTAAGCAGCTATTAGAATAAGGCAATCGCTTCTTAAATTATATCCTAAAGTGGAGTAATTGACCGAGTCAGCTAAACTTGCATGCGCGGCGGTGAATGCAAACACACTACACAGGCACGAGAAATTACATTGTTATTCGACAGCAATCATACCCATAATACTCCAAGGAAAAGGAATAAAACAGCATCCTCAGCAGTTTCGCCAAGGATTATGCTCATTTGTGTATTTCTCTGAATACAAGAGTTTGCGTTAAATGCACACCAACATGGGGCATGCTGGGGAACAGCTGTTGGAAATAATCATTCTTCTGTTGCAACACCGCCTGCGGCATTTCCAGTGGACTTGATATGGATATTTTGGAGATTCTCATCAAAGTGGATCTTCCAAAAGGGAATCTACAGAAAACATCTAAGCAGCTGTCATGATCCAGGACCATCCTCAGTCGACGAAGCTGCTGAACGCATGTTTTAGGTAGAGGGCTCAGATAAGGAAAACCATCATGACATTTCTGTGTCTTTAGGATTTGGTTGTCTAAGAAAGATGCAGGAAGACACACACACACCCCTACGGGCTACTGGGATTTGGAGAACGACCATTGTTGTCCACGGTTTCTGAAGCTGTGGACAGCTCCTGAACTCAAGCTATGAAGATCCCGCCATGCTACGTACGACAACCGTCATTCCTGTGCAGATCAAGATTACTGAAACAGAGCAAGCTCCGAACTTCACGGCTCAACAGCTTCTCCCCAGAAGGCTCAGACAGAACGGTCTTTGGCGTGGAACTCTCCGTGGTGCTGTTCCAGTTCCAGCCTCTCTCCACTCAGCCGGAATCCAAACAGTTTTGGCCACAAAACTTCATGTGAACCAGGTCCGGAGCGGACACATGGGGACAGGCAAGCTGTCTCCAGAGCTGTCTATAACACCACTGCAGTCACACCTCTTCGCTTCGTCTGACTCGCTGCTGCCATCAAACTCCCTCTTCATTCTGATTGGCCAGAAGTGTGCAAGAACAAGCGCCTTATTGGGTTGTGCCCCCTGTCATCCAATGTTGCTCCCACCTACACCTTTGACCCATTAGAATGACGGGATGGCGATAAAACCAAGGCTGGTTTGACTCTGGCTCTTCTTACCATCAGCTGTGGTTCCACCTACGTTTCGTTTGTCTGCGGCCAAGATGTCCCTTAGCTTAAAACTGTCCACCTTCACTTGGCTTAGTACCTACACATCTGGTGGTGAGCCGGTAGCTTGGACCTCACCTGGATTTCACTTCACATCATCTCCACGTGTGCTTACAGTTTCAACACCATAGTATTTTTCTTTAAAGTCCAAAATCTTGTTCTGGTCTTCTGGGGGGGGGATGGGAAGGGAGGAGAGTTGTCCAGCATTGGCACAGGGCCAAATCTTGACCAGTGGAAGGGATCTCCAGAAGACTGATGGCTATCCTAGAAGTTGGATGCAGAGTGTGTCTCAGGGGTGGCCAATTTCACACCCTGAGACCAAAACTAGGCCTTCCTCGGGGCCAAATCTGGTCCTCTTGAGGTTCTCCAGAGGACCGTACTTCCACCTCCACAACACCATCCTTTGGAGGCTTCCTAGCTTTTATAAATAATTTTTCCTCCCTTCTAAAAGGCTAAAATCTCTCTCTAGTGTCCTAGCTTTCCAATGCTAAGAGCTTTCAGTTAAAATACGCCCGGAGTTTTCATCCTACCCTTTTGTTGGTGGGCC